AGGAATGTGGTTGTAATAAGCTTGAGACGTATTACTTGGCTGATTTTTTGCTAAGTAGCTCGAGTCACGTTGATCAACAGGCTCGATCTCGACCTAGATGTGATTGCAGAATGAATAATTTTGTAGTTTTCATAGGTCGAGGTCGAGCCCAGTCTTATCCCATGTCGATGTTCTTGGTAAAACTTCTCGCCGTAATACTTTAATTGTATTAAAATAATGAACGTTACACGGCATATAGGCTATAATTTAAAGAGTAAACTATTTAAGGGTATGAAAACCTAAACAAGAACTGAAAGATAGAAATAAAAACTAAGCGCGAACTGAAAATACCCCAGACCTTAAGTACTTGGTTGTATAGCCAGTTACTTGAAAAATATTTTTAAATTGTTAACATTCCGTGGCAAAAACTAAGCGAGAACTGAAAATACCCCAGACCCTAGGTACTTAGCTATCCAATCAGTTACTTGTAATAAATTTTTAAGTTATCAGCGTTCCATGGCCTCAGAAGTGGTCTTCCTGAGGTATCCTTCAAGCTGTATGCCCCGCCTTTCAATTTTCAAATAACCTCAAAAGGTCCTTCCCACACCGGCCCCAGCTTCCCTAGAGGATATCCCACAGTCGCTGCTCTCCTTAGGACCAAATCAACAACTTTGAACCTTTTGTCTTGACCTTGGTATTGAAATGTGTTGCTGTTTTGCTTTGATAACTAACGGCCCTCAGCGAGGCTTATTTTCGTACTTCCTCCAGTAGATCAAGGTGCTCAGTAGTTTGTCTCCCAACGTTGGGCTCAACCATCCTGTGTGTTGGGAGACCGACCTCCACTGGTATCATGGATTCCGTGTCAAAAGCTAACATGAAAGGAGTCTCGCTAGCTGCTGTCTTATGAGAGGTCCTGTTGGTCCAAAGTATGAACTCCCCTTAGCATCACCAATCCTTGTACAAAGGTTTTGTAGTATAATTCGGTTAGTCACTTCCGCGAGACCATTACCCTAAGGGTGTGAGACCGATGTCAGGCGATGGTCAATCTCGAGGTCTGAACAAAAATTTCTAAATTGTGAGTTATCAAATTGCCTCCCGTTGTCTGTTATTAGTACCTTCGGTATCCCGAACCTACACACAGTGGACTTCCATACGAATGATCTGAGCTTTGGTTCTGAGATTGTTGCCAAGGGCTCAGCCTCTATCTACTTAGTAAAGTACTCCACTGCTACGGAAATAAATTTCACTTGAGCCTTTGCCAAATGAAAGGGTCCAAGGATGTCCACTCCCCATTGCTCAAAAGGGACAACATAAAGGATGGATGTTAGTTCTTCAGGGGGAGTGTGTATCGTATTGTCGAACCTCTGGCACTTGTCACACTTCTTTACATATTTCGACGCATCCTTCTTCATGCTTGGCCAATAATATCCATATCTGATGAGCTTGTAAGTTAGTGCACGAGCTCCTTGATGATTTCCATAAATACATTTGTGAACTTCTGTTAAGGTGTGGAGGGACTCAGAGGGCTTGAGACATCTAAGGTACCAGTGTCCTGTGGCCCCCGAGACCTAGAGGTGTATTCTACAATGAAGTCAGCTAAGGCTTGAGTCTTAATGGCGGGTCGTGGTTTGAACTCTATATCAAACTCATCTATTTCAATCGTCCATTTCAGTAGTCTTCCTGAGAAGTCTGGTTTTTGAAGTATGTGTCTGAGTGGTTGAATGGTGAGCACAACGATTGAGTGAGATCGAAAATATTGACGTAGGTTCCTGATATCTATAACCAACACAAGTGTGAGCTATTCAGCCAATGTGTATCGAGTCTTTGTGTCGAAAAGAACTTTACTTACGTAGTAAATAGGTCGTTGGATCTTTCCCACTTTCTTCACCAACACTCCACTTACCGCGTTTTCAGAAACGGCCAAGTATAATAACAATGTATCACCCAGTTCTGGCTTGGTAAGGACTGGGGGTGTTGATAGCGTTTGTTTCAGCTCTTGAAAGGCAATATTACATTCCTCATTCCAATCAAAGTTCCAGTTTCCCCTTCGGATTTTAAAAAAGAGAAGGCATATGTCTGCTGCTCGAGATACAAACCTATTCAAGGCTGCAACCCAACCTGCCAACTTTTGAATATCCTTCTTGCGTGTTGGTGCTTCCATAGATATTATTCGCTACTCGTCCTGCCAATCTTTGAATGTCCTTTTTGCAGGTCGGGGCTTGCATTGACACCAAGGCTTGGATCTTGTCCTGGTTGGCCTCTATTCCTCTATGTGTGATCATGAAACTCAAAAACTTGCCAGAGGCCACTCCAAATGAATACTTTGTGGGGTTTAGCTTCATCTTATACTTTCGTAGAATAGCAAAGACCACTTCAAGGTCCGAGAATTGGCCACCAACTTGCCCGCTCTTGAAGACCATGTCGTCCACACATGCCTCGATGTTCTTATCTATCAAGTGAGAAAAAACTTTATTGATAATTCTTTGATATGTAGCTCCGACATTTTTCAACCCAAATGTTATAACCTTATAACTGTAAATGGCTGAGCCTGCCATAAATGAGGTCTTCTTTTGATCTTCTTCTAACATAAAAATTTGATGGTACCTCCCGAGAATGCATCTAGAAAACTGTATGATTTATGGCCTAATGTGTTGTCCACAAGACTATCATTCGAGGTAGACTATCATTATCTTCAACACCCATATCACCCACATTTTAATCTTCTTCATAATGGTATTTGAGGGTTTCCTCGTAATGTGATCACATCTCTTCAACATTCTCGTGAAAAAAAGATCTGACCAATCAATTTAGGCTCTCCACCCTTGTTTTTTTCCACAGAAGGTACGTAAAAACCTTCAAATGTTTGTGGTTCATCGCATTGCGTATCAACTTCTGAGATCGATGCATGCAATTGCAATGGGGCTACAACATATTTCTACACTACTGGATGCCCATCTCTATCCCTAAACATTTCTTTAATATCATTCTCGCTCTCTAATCTAGTTAACCCCTTCCCTAAACTCATTTTTCATTTTTTGTAGTAAAACTCCAGCATCAAATCAAGATCAACCGCATTTAAGAACTTCATGAAATTATATTTCATAAACAATGAGACATGGAAAAAATTGAAGAAAAGCACAAATCCATGTTTGTAAGCCAAATTGTTTGCCATAGCATAGAAATTGCCTCCGTGATGCAATTCAACAGTGAAGTAGCCAGAATTTGCACCTGCATGGAAAAGAATATGGAGATGAAGGAATGAACAGTGAAAGGTAGTATGGAAATAAAGAAATGCACACCGATCAAATAAGGGCAATAATGGACTTCACATCATACAATGCTCAAAACCCAACCAAAACCACTAAAATTTCCACTATCAACCAATGCCATGTAATTTCAGAGGAATACCTACAAACCCCCAAAAATAACCGTCACGGTGTTAACGGTCTTTTCCCAATTCCCATTTCAATAGAGTTCCAAACTTTAGGGAAAACAATGATCATTTATGGACATCGTTCATACCGAATGTGAGTGTCTTTTTGCCGGGCTCTCAAATAAACGGAGGAAACATCTTCATTTGATACAAAATCCTGTGAAAAACAAGAATATATTCCATAAAAAAATAGCAAGAAAGCCTTGATTACTCAAAAACTTGAAATTTCGAACTGTAAAATAAAAAATAACGGACCTGCAGTAAAATATTTCCTTCTCTCAATTCGCCCTCCATTGTGTGTAGATAATAGTTTAGTACGAGATGAGATATTGTAGACAATAGGAGAAGAGGATGAAGAAAATGGGTGTGCACGGTACGTGAAGACTGGAGAAGATGGAAGATGAACCGTGCATGTTATGGGGAAGAAGAGGTTTTTGAAGAAACTCGACCATTTTACCATTTGAGTTTCAAATTAAAATTGAGTACAGATATGCATTTAACGGTAAAACTCACAATAGATGGACGGCAATGACATTGTTCACAACGAAACGTTGAAATAAGAGTGAAAATATAAAAAAATAAAACGTATAGAAGTTTTGCATACAAAAGATTAAACGTATCGACATTTTATTCTAATAAGCCTGGTTAAGAAATAATGTTTCGAGTTAAAAAAAATATAGTGAATAATAAACATCAAGTTCGAGACAGACAAATGTGGCTCCTTTACAATGCCTTTCTACCGTCTTTACAAGAAAAAAAAGAATAATAATAATTGAAAAAGAAAAGAACCCCAAAATTGAAAGGAAAAAAATAAACAAAAAGTTGGGTGGGCGGTGGTCGGTATGGGGGTTGTTGAGCCTCAAGGAAACCAGTTACAGGCAAATCAAAAACCAGTCGTTTCAAAACCGGTCAAACAGTAGATTTTTTGTTTGAATTTTTATATTCAGTCTTCTGTTCTTATATATGCTATACACCTGGTAAGGCTCAACTGTTGATACAGTTCACCGGAGTAGGAGTCTGGGAGAGATTTCTAGGGTTAAACTGAAGAACCTCAGACCAAAGGACCTGAGCCGAACCCTAGCCCGTACAAATCGAATCTGTAGAGGTACCAAAACTCTCTTCTTCCATATCTTCGCTCAGAACAGAATCAACAGTTTGTACTTGTACTATGTATGCCCTCCCACGTACTATGATTATCTACAAGGTCAACTTTCAATGTTTTGGGTTTTCCTGGCTAGAAAACAGTTTCAAAGTGGTTTCATCTTAGATCTCCATTTGGGTTATTTGTTGTCTGTCTAAATAAAGCCTTTTATTTATAGATCTGGGGTGGATTTCTACAACTTCCGTGGATATTGTGTGCAAACACTTGGAGTAGAAAATACTATATATTTTCACTTCGTTTTAATTTAAGGTTTGCAAAAAATAGAAAAAAAAATTGACTGTCAATTTTGGGCCGAAACAAGAAAATTAACCTCTACATGCACTGTGTTGTAATTTCTGTTTCTACTACCCAATGTAACGGAAGGGTGCATTCAAGAATTATTTATTTTAGTACTTTTTGAAGATAAACAATTTAGTTGAAAAGGGAATGGCAAATAGGTGGTGGGCTGACAATGTGGTGATGAATCCGATGTCACTATCTTCTGCTCCGTCTCTCCACTTAAGAAACCCTGATGAAGATGAAAATGCTGGATTGAACCGCCGTGGACAGCGGCGGAGGAGAGAGCAAGAATTCATGGACACAACCGCTAATGCATCAAATAGCAGTGGAAGCCATGCCAATCAAAACCCTAGCTCCATCAACCACAACCCTGAAGACAGAGATATCGAAGAAAACGATCACGAAGCTGAAGATGGTCAGAACCCTGCTGGAGATCTTGAAATCTCGGACCGGAGTGGCTCGGGCGGACGCCGACCTAGAGGAAGGCCACCTGGGTCCAAGAACAAGCCCAAACCTCCAGTTGTTATAACAAAAGATAGTCCTAATGCGCTTCGAAGTCATGTCTTGGAAATCAGTAGTGGCAGCGACATTGCCGAGACAATTTCAACCTTTGCGCACAGTCGCTGCTGTGGTGTTTCAGTTTTGAGTGGCAGTGGAATTGTGACCAATGTGACATTGCGCCAGGCGGCTGCACCTGGTGGGGTGATAACTCTTCACGGTCGATTCGAGGTTTTGTCGTTATCCGGGGCATTCTTGCCGGCACCTTCTCCGCCAGGAGCCACGGGACTCACGGTGTACTTGGCAGGTGGTCAGGGGCAGGTGGTCGGCGGCACTGTAGTGGGTGCATTGAGGGCATCGGGTCCCGTGATGATAATTGCTGCCACATTTACAAATGCAACATATGAAAGGTTGCCTCTGGAGGAGGAGGAACCGGTGTCCGTTGACGGGACGCAATTACAACCAACTTCAGGGGTTAATACTGGAACAAGTGGTGGCACGACAGGATCTCAGCCACAGGCTTTTGCTGCTGATCCGCCATCGTCCTCCATGTCTTTGTATAACCTGCCACTGAATTTGCTGCCCGATAGTCAGATGCCGCCTGATGTTTTCTGGGCTCCGTCGCGTCCTCCACCGTCTTATTGAGGCCAGTGGAATTAATGTTAGAAAGCAGGAGGGAATCGTTAATACATGGTAGTTTCTGTGACCCCTTCTGAAGTTCTTAGGAATCAAGAATCAAGGTTAGACTTTCTCGACGCTTTTGTATTCCACGTAAATTACATTTCTGACTAGTTTTTTTTCCCCTCAACTTTATGTTCTTGTGACTGAATCTTATGAGACTACTGTTTAATTTACTTCTTCTCCGAGCTACTGTGGCTTGAGCTAACCATGTCGAATAATGTGTTGAAGATTATTTGAAATAAATTGCTGCGCCCTATCTATAATAGCTTAAGCTTTTAGATCGATTAGTTCACTGATAAATGTCTTACGTTGAAATGCTAACAAATGTCTTAGATTTAATTCTCGTCACAAATGTTTTAGGTTCACATTTTGGCTCCACCCATTAATGAAATTGTTGTTGCATGAATTAGGTTTTCAATTAAAAAAATAAATTCGGCTTGAATGTTACTTATGTTTTTGGAGTTGTGGCTTTTGGTTGTCTTTAAAATTTCCCCCAACAAAATTATCATATGTGGAAATTTAATAAAACTAAATGTACACACTTGGTTCGTATTAAATTTCACATCCCCTCACATGGATTGCGGACCCCCACCCAATGTGAGGGGTACGTGAAACTTATTGTGAACCAAGTGTGTACATCTAGCATGGTTCTTGGAAATCTCCTTGTGTTTACTTGGAAGAGTGCTGCATTTAAATTTTTTTCTTATTTTTTAAAAGCACATTCTTCAAAAAATTACTATTCTAATCATCGTTTTTCCCCATTTCCCTTTATGATGAGCATCGAACATGGGCCAAGTACATCAAACCCAAAATAATGCTCGCCCTTCATCCATGAGTTGGTCAAAATGCTTGTAATGACAAACATCTTCTCAATCATGACTTGAAAACTATTTTAGGCCCTATTTGGTACACATTAGGCTCTGTTTGGTATACATTAATTTTTTCATTCTCATTTTTTTACTCATTTTCAATCACACATTCTACAATAAAATAATATTTTTCATCATATCAATAACTTTTCATTCATTTTTAATCAAACATTTTCTATCAATCTACTATTCAATAATCCATTCTTTCAGAAGAATGTGTTCCAAACACACTTTTAATATGCTTTTAAAAGAAACACTTAGTAGGGCCACATTCTTAAAAATCAATCCAATTTCCCCTCAAATTTAACTGATGATGATCGTGTTGTCTAAAATGGAGCGAATTTATGATCATGAAGGCTATTTTTTATGGGAGTTTACCCCTATGATTGAAGGGTAAAGTTCATGGACGGTTTGCTTTTTTGACCCAAATGTTCATTTACATGGAGAAGGATTTGATGTAGATTTCTGAGAGTAACTACTAGAATATTGTACAACTCTAATGAATTGGAGTGTATAATTCATCTGCATTTTCTGGAAAACGGTCGTTTCAGTTCAAATCAGATCAAGAGTGGTACCATTTGGGAAGACTTTGTTATCACATCATTGTAGTTGATGTGGGTGGTTACCGAGATAATTGGTCTAATTTTTGTGCAACTTGGTTTTGGATTCTAGACCTGTCAATTTCTATAAATAGACAGCTTTTGGGTGTCATCTAGCTAGTTTATACTTTTGACTCTTTAGGTGCCTTCATTGCAATCGTTGGGGCAAAACCCTTGTTTATTTTATCCCCAGACTCTCCCAAGGGATGAGAAGGGTGTTGTTTATCGTTTAATCCCTCGTCCACAAGTTTAAACTATCATCCCCCGCACGTTTCCTTTAAATCTTCTATTCAATACACCCCATCATATGTAAATAGAGTTTATTTTCATTGAAAGTCGTCAACACATGCACAATATTTCATAAATAGGCGGTGATAGCGGGGTTGGGGGGAGCCAAACTCTAATAAATACCATGACATGGAGGTGGATTTTGCTCCATTTTTCACTTTATAGGGAAAAAAATTATGTGAATTTCTTTACATATTAGCTTAGTTTAAATGATTTTTTAGTCCAGTTTTGGTTCGCTTCTGATCTAAAAGTTTAAGTTGTAAAAGAGTAATCACATGTAGTCGCTCAAGTTCTATGGTCATTCTCTGCATAATAATAGCGATTAATTGCATAAACTGGAGATTGCCAAACTACTTACTATGAAGCAAAGATGTGCCGCTGGTCACCTTCTGCGATTTACTTAGGGTGTGTTTGATAGCCTAGAAAATTAGGTGTAAAAAGAAAATGTTTTCCAACTTCATCCAATTAATTGTGNAAATTAGGTGGAAAAAGAAAATGTTTTTCAACTTCACTCAATTATGGTGTTTGATTGCAAAAGTTTTCTTGCCTTTTGTTTTTTCTACATTTTCTAGGTACAATGATTTTATGTACATTTTTTTGAATTTGTTTTCCCACAAATTAGGTGGGAAAGCAATTTCCATCTTTTTTTTTTTTCTTTTTTTTTTAGCAATGGCAACAAATTTTACCAACTATTTCAAAAAGAATTTTCACTTTTGTTGACAATTTTTATGCAAAACAAGGTCAAATGAATATGATAATTTTTTCTAATTGTTTAAATTTTTTTTTTTTAATTAGAACAAATTCTAGACACAATGGTAGAAAAAATTATCATTTTAATGGACAATTTTTATAAAAAAATGAAGTCAAACGAACACCAAAATTTTAACATTTTCCATGTGGAAAATTATACTAATCAAACACAATTAATTACATTTTTCAGTAAAACAATTTATAAGCAATTTAATTTTCAGTAAAATATTTTCTTTCCACATTTATAATCAAATGAAATGTTATTTATTTCTTTTTTTTTAGAAATTTGAGCTCAAGAATTGGTAGTTGAACCCTGTCCTAATGTTTCTGTGAAAGCTGTCATTTTAGATGTTTAGTTTTCATCTCCTGGTTTCACATGTACCAATTCTTGAGATATTATAAGTATTTTTTCCGTCCTCCTCGATACGTTTAGCCTATGTTTGGCTCAGGTTTATAAATTGTTTTTATAAAAACTAGTTCAAAAATTCTGAGGAACTCATAAATACTGTCTATTTATTCTCACTTATATTATTTATAATTCAAACCATTTATAAAAATGCTTTTGTTATTATCTTTCAAAATTAGTATTCTTGTGGTCTCAAACTTTTACAGTATTATAACTAATTTCTTGTCTTATTTTTGTTTCAAATTTTCGAAGATTAAAAGTAAGCCTGTCTTATTAATATATTTTTAAAAAGACAAAATTGTTCTTATTTTAAATAATTATTAATTATATTAAATACAAAAAAGAACAAAATTTGTCTCCTCCTCAGATCAACTCCTCAAAAATGATGATCGCTCCATAATACGTAAGAACGGCAGAGGGATTGATATGAGACGGGTTAATTATTATCGCCTCTGACTCCTCGTGTATTTTTGCCATCTTGTTTTGTCTTCATACTCTATAAATGGGAAAATTATTGAAAATACTCTAAATTC